CTGGCGACTGGCACCAGTGCCGTCCCCGAGGTGAGGGACCGCGGGGCGCCGCAGCGGCAGGGTGCGGAGCAGCATGGCAGCTCCACAGCCCCTGATGCGTGGGAGCCGATCCGCATCTCAGTGTTCACCCAGGACCTTGATGACAACTCTCGCTACTGCACACAGCCCGGGGAGATGAAGCCTGATTTCAAAGGCTCCATGATGCAATGCAATTCAAAAAATATTCTCACTGATGAAAAGAAGGAACTGCTGCGTAAGCAGATAATCCCTAACGCGATACAGATGCACAAGGACCGCCTGCTGGTGCAACCGCTCAAAGATAGCATCCTTGTTGAACACTTTAATGGGAAACTTTGCTCTCACTTTACGATTCCCCAGTTCCACCACGACACCGGTGTACCGGATACCGATTTCCTGCTGTATGTAGCGGCGGGACCAACTGTACCTGTTGTGTGCATGTGGGCACTCACGTGCCAATATGACCCCAGCGGCCGCCCCTTGGTAGGTGTTGCCAATATTGGGTCCGTAGACACTAAGGATATTTTCTTTTCAACACATACCCTGGTGCACGAGATATTGCATGCGTTGGGATTTGAAATTGAATTTTTTAAAAATCGAAATATGGTTGATACTGTGTCTGTTCGTAATAAACCAGCAAGTTATGTTCTGAAGTCGCCCAAAGTGGTGGAAGTCGCGAGGGCTCATTACGGGTGCAGTACCATGCAGCACGTGGAGTTGGAGGACATTGGTGCCATGGAGTCTGTCGGCTCACACTGGAAGATGCGCAACGCAAAGGATGACTTGATGGCTCCTTCTGATTCTGCAGGTTTCTACACTGCCATCACCATTGCGGCGATGGAGGACACGGGCTACTACAAAGGCAACTACCGCAATGCTGAAAGTATGGCATGGGGTAAGAATGCCGGTTGTGTGCTCTTTGATAAGAACTGCGTTATTGACGGTGTGTCGCAGGTGCCGGAGATGTTTTGTGACAGTTTTATCTTTTTTAAAAGTGAGTACACGTGTACATCAGACCGGATGGGCATTGGAGACTGCATGATCAAGCATCATACCGGCTTACCAATATATTTCCAGTACTTCCCAAATCCGATTATAGGTGGGAAGAATCCATTTATGGATTACTGCCCATACATAAGATCTTATTTAAGTACTATGTGTTTTAATGGGGATGCAGGAATGCTGTCTGGTTCTGTGTTTTCAGAATCTGCGCGATGTTTTTCAGCTGTCTCGAGGACTCCTCTCCAGATAAGTGATGGGCAAAATATGCTCTCTATTTGCGCAGACGTGCAGTGTGACAAGGACACCTCGAGGTACCGTGTGCGCGTGAAGGGTGCCAGTGATTTCGTGGACTGTCCACCCGGTACTACCCTTGTACTTTCGGACTACAGTGCTGAGTTCTGGTCTGGTGCAATCATGTGTGCACCATACAAGGAGGTGTGCCACAAATCATTTTGCCCCTATTTAAACGGTGACAATAACAAAGACAAACACAACAGCAAAAATTTTAAAGCTTCATCTAGTGCTACTAGCATTGCATACCAGTTCACTTACACGCTTGTTGCAGCGCTGACAGCAATGATTGTCCTCGCTGAATATTGACAGGGGGCAATGTGCGTGAAGAGGGTGAACTGCTGGAAACATGCACTAGACAGGGATGTAAAATGGTAAAATTG